GTATCAGTTTGCCCTTGTCCATCTTTGATAGGCTCATTCCCCCATTGGCGGTGTCTAGAAATTCCAGCAGCTTCAGTAGGGCGGGGTGCCAGTTGACTCGGGGTCCAGGAGGAGTAGCACCTACGTCCGATTCCACCATGCCACTGGAGCAGGAGGTGTCAGCAGCCATACATGGGGCTGGGGTGTCCTCTCCATCACTTTCCGCTGCCTCACTCTGCTCCGTGCGCTCGCTTTCCATCTCCTCCGCACCTCCGCCATCCATCTCTTCTGTGCCCCGGTTGACACTCTGGGGAACGTCTGTTGAACTGCTGCCTTCATTTTCGGATTGCACTAGATCATCCACAGAGACGTTGGTGGCGCCTCCGCCTGGGGACCCACGTCCGCGACATGGGATGTAAAAAACCACTCCACCACGCCGATCGAAACGGGCAGGGGCTGGTGGGGCGGGTGCACTATAGTGCCCCTCAGAGCACTCCTTGTTGCCTGCTAGGTGCCTCCCCAACTTTTGCGAGTTGGCAAAATGAGCACTACAGAACCTACACCTGACGAAGGTGGGACAGTCCATCCCCTAGGCCGACCTAATACGAGCTGACGTTAATCTTACAACGGTTTGTGACTGCATTGCGGATTGAGAGCCTTAATAGCTCACATCAAAGACATCCTTGAGGCGTGACGCTACGAGGTCAGAGCGATAGATACAAGTGACAACACCCGAGGCGCACTGATCGCCTATGCATCAGCAATCAACCAACCCCTGTCGGGTCGCGCTCGTTACACCGTGGGAAAATCATGGCGGGAATGACCTAAAACGAAGGTGTCTACTGCAACGCTGGTTGCCAAGACACTCAGCTTCGAATTAGGTTTTCGAATCTGAACTTTCGAACGGGTGAGGCTTGTACTCTTTACTAGCTGCTCTGAGGTTGGACTGTGTACAACCCCTAAAAACATGTGATACTGTTGGTTGTAATAAACCACAAAGTGTTCCAGCATTTATGATTCCTTGGACTTTAGTGACCTACATAACACAACAACATAGGAAGAAACTAAGATAACCTTCTTCACATGCTTAATTCCAATGTTTGGTCTGTGCTTTGCATCAGAACCCAAATGAAGGCAATTCTGCTGAGAGTTCATGCTTATCTATGACGACAAAGCATGAAAGGCCTATCAAACCTTAATGGTTTGACCTGAAAAAAATAGGGGGATCTAGAATTTGTGTGATGAGACTCCCCTATGAGTTTCAGAGCTTAATTCCAATGTTTGGTCTGTGTTTTGCATCAGAACCCAAATGCAGGCAATTCTGCTGAGAGTTCATGCTTATCTATGACGACAAAGCATGAAAGGCCTATCAAACCTTAATGGTTTGACCTGAAAATAATAGGGGGATCTAGAATTTGTGTGATGAGACTCCCCTATGAGTTTCAGAGCTTAATTCCAATGTTTGGTCTGTGTTTTGCATCAGAACCCAAATGCAGGCAATTCTGCTGAGAGTTCAGGCTTATCTATGACGACAAAGCATGAAAGGCCTATCAAACCTTATTGGATAGACCTGAAAATGATAGAGGGATCTAGAATTAGTGTGATAAGACTCCACTATGAGTTTCAGAGCTTAATTCCAATGTTTGGTCTGTGTTTTGCATCAGAACCCAAATGCAGGCAATTCTGCTGAGAGTTCAGGCTTATCTATGACGACAAAGCATGAAAGGCCTATCAAACCTTATTGGATAGACCTGAAAATGATAGAGGGATCTAGAATTAGTGTGATAAGACTCCACTATGAGTTTCAGAGCTTAATTCCAATGTTTGGTCTGTGTTTTGCATCAGAACCCAAATGCAGGCAATTCTGCTGAAAGTTCATGCTTATCTATGACGACAAAGCATGAAAGGCCTATCAAACCTTATTGGTTAGACCTGAAAATGATAGAGGGATCTAGAATTAGTGTGATAAGACTCCCCTAAGAGTTTGAGAGATTAATTCCAATGTTTGGTCTGTGTTTTGCATCATAACCCAAAATGGTGACACAAAATGGTGCAGGTTGCTGAAGCATCCAAACGTGAGTAGGCAGACAGCCAACATAGTTGATGATAACAGCAGCACAAACTTCAAAACCAAAAAATAACATTCTTGATATTCACACCTGTCCATGATAGCCAGAGAATGAGTTGTGATGTCATAGGAACTTCATTGGAGTAGCTTGATATATTGTTCTTGGTGAATTTCACCCAGAAACATTTTTAAATCCTAAACTGTAGAGGATGCCTACGGAAGATGCTAGAGCCATTCAGAAGATGATTTGCATCACTAACCTCTCAGATATCAGTGTTTAAAGGTACGCCTGAAGGGAGGCATTTGGAGCCAAAAACCACCCTCAAATGTGTTTTTTGCTACTATCTCCTTTGTTGTACGTTATGGACTGGCTAAATCTATCGTATCATAAAAAAATAACACAACTAAAAAGTTCCCAAGACTTATCCAATTCTGTGGGCTCCAATTTGGCTTGTTTCAGATCCTTATTGTGCTATTTAGTCAGTATGTAAGCACCAAAGTTTGCTCATCTTGACAGTTATGCATGTTACTGGCGACATCTATGCGCGACCCCCATGTGGCGACCGTCGCTGCGACGCTGTTCATGCAGCCCGAAATCTTTACGGAATGTTTGCGAAATTTGTGAACCATATTTTTATAGCTATATGAGGACTTTTTTTACGCCCGTCTGCGTCCTGTCTGATTTCGTCGGGCAAATCTTGAAATTTGCTAGGCGCTTGTCTATTTCGCGTGCGCAAGTCTACGTCGACACGGAAATGCACGTTCCCCGTCTGAGGCTCCATAGATTCCTGGGTCATACCACTGCCGATGAACAGTCCAGACATGGTCTTATCGGAACAGTTTGCCAGCCTGGTTGCAATACGCGCCAATCCACACTCACCAATCTGCCAGCTACGAGGGGTTTTGCACAGGTTGGGGTGGGCACACCAGGCTGGCAAGGTAAGTATGGCGCAGCGCTGTCCATGCGTTGGCATTGCAGATGGCATTTTCATGCAGTTGTCACTCGTGTCTGTTCTCCAACTGTTGCGCTTCATTCAACAGTAAGTGCTGACAAATATTTTTTCGATTTGTGAAGTCATTTTCGGGGCAAACATCGACTCAGATGCAATGAGAAATAAATAAGTGCGAGGATGGGTGTGGCAGATGTTTAGAAAAGACAGGCACGGGAAGCAGCAACATTTTGAGGGGGATTTTAAAGCAGTGGTTGCCAAACCAGCGAATCCACACTCACCAAGCTGCCAGATACGAGGGCTTTTTTACAGGCTGGCGGTGGGCACACCAGGCTGGCAAGTTAAGGATGGCGCAGTGCTGTCCTTTATGTTAGCATTGCATATGAACTTTCCGAGCAGTTGTTTCTTGTGTCTGTTATCGAACTGTTGCGCTTCATTCAACAGTTACAGCTGACAAATATTTTGTCACTTTGTCGTTATACTTCTCGTGCCAATGAAAAGAAGTGTGAGGATGGGTGTGGATGATGTTTAGAGCAGACATCCACGGAAAAAAGCAACCTTTTGGGTGGTAATTTACAGTACTTCGTTAAAACCCAATACTCATGATGCTGACAGCGGCGGGTGCAAGGGTGGAGTATGGAAGAAACACCTTTGTCTTGCGTGTTGAATGACAGGTGGCAACACTGCCATCGATTTTGTCGTCAAGCACAGTTCAGCCGAACCACAGTCAGAGCTGTAGGCTGTACCGTTTTTTTCCTCGACAGAGACGACAACGATAAAAAAAAAGATCGAAGAGTGGCATATTTCCGCCAGTTTGGGGACGGAAATTTTTTTCCTAGCGAGGACATATCATCCTGTTACTGTATGTGTGGGCGAGGAAGGACAACAGAGATAACCAAGTAGTCCAGAAACTACACAAACCTGACTGACGCGATACGACAACACGTACCAGTTGACACATTTCCACGCTTCAGAAACAGGTGATGAAGTTTCGGGAGGATCCTGTCCTTCTCAAAGTACAATCACATGTCAATGCTGCCAGTCCTATTTCAGTTGAGCGTGGCACATTGAGACAAAATGGTCCCTCAGAAAATCACGTTCGTTGTGTTCTTGGGGCTGGACTCTAGAAACATTTCGGGATGTGTTCACTTTCTTGAGGTCCACCAGTAGGGTTCGTGTCAACACCAGCAGAAAAAAAAGGAAAAAGGTGTTGAGAGTATCAAACCGGGGTGGAAAGAAATTGTTACCACAAAGATAGAAAGTCACCCTACAGTTTTCAAACACGGCCTCAATGTCCTCTAGCAAACAATGAGGTCAGGACTACAGGCACGTAGGGAAGCTGAAGCTCGCGTTACCTTTGCTGAGACAGCTCCAGCTCCAGGCACGTAGAGAACCTGAAGCTCACGTTTACCTTAGCTGGGACAGCACCAGGCACGTAGGGAACCTAAAGCTCACGTTTCCTTTGCTGAGACAGCTCGAGTTCCAGGCACGTAGGGAACCTGACGCTGTCGTTACCTTTACTGAGACAGCTCGGGTTAGGTTCCCTTGCATGCAGTCACGCTACCCGTGACTGCAGCTATGGCGTTTTCCACGGAACAAGGCACGGCGAAGCCCCAGTGACGATGTCCACTCAAACCGTGTCGCTGAGTAATGCATCTAGTCACGGCCTACTTATCCTGCATCTCCGCTCTGAACGGGAAGTCACCAGTCATGCGGAATCGCGCCGCACGATTTCGTGATCGTATGACGCGCCGTTGACTGGCTGGCAGCGCATCTACGCAGCGGCTTGAGATGCATTGGAACTTCACTGTGAGCTAAGGGATGGGGTGGATGTACATAACTGGAAGGGCAATGCCTTGCATTCTATCATCAAAACATTCAACTCTTTGTTTGGGAGCTGTGATCCCTCTCTCTAGGCCAGTTCTACTCGTATTTTCGCATCGGGGATTACAGCATCGCCTAGTATCTTCTTGAATATAACCTGGTGGTCTTGTGTACGTCTCATGACAGGGTCCAAACCAAGCTCTAGAGGTCGAGATGCGGTGGAAGAGGACAACGAAGGCGAGCATGTGGACAACTCTCGGGAGGGAGCCATTACACTGAGAAAGTCTGGGCGAAAGAGGCGCAGGAGGGTGCGCATTGGGGAAGAAGAGTCTCAATCCGGTGAAGACGCACCAGAGCGTGATTCGGGCGATGGAGGAGAGACCACCGCGCGGGACTCTTCTACCTGCCATGATGAGACAACCGGGCTGGGAGCTTCAACTGATGAGGCTCATGGTTTAAACAACGATGACGAGGGACCGGACGGCCCATACGACGCTGAGGACGAAGATGCTCGCGACGTGGAGGATGATGAGGAGGCTACGAACGAGGATGGTGACGATGAAGATTCTGACGAGGATGCTAACGATGAGTACGGGGAGGAGGTTGATGACGAGGTACAGGAGGAGGATGAACAGGAGGAGGAACAGGAGGATGAACAGGAGGAGGAACAGGAGGATGAACAGGAGGAGGATCAGGAGGAGGATGAACAGGAGGAGGATGAACAGGAGGATGAACAGGAGGAGGATGAACAGGAGGAGAATGAACAGGAGGAGGAAGATGAGGAGGAGCAGGAGGAGGAACAGGAGGAGGAACATGAGGAGGAACATGAGAAGGAACATGTGGAGGAACGGGAGGAGGAACAGGAGACGGAACAGGAGAATCAGGGGGGACGGGAGGAGGAACAGCAGGAGAGAGGCGAGCATGAGACTGAGGCAGAACCTGGTAACAACGATGCCGAGTGCGACATGGATCCCAACAGCCGTGAAGAAGAGGTTGTGGCTGAGGAAAGGGCCAGACAAAGGGGGCGGATGTTGCCAATTTCAATGCTCGGCGGCAAGGTCGTAATGGCAGACGGAAAAAAATTGACGACGCACTCTGGAAAGGGTCCAGAGCAACCGAAAAAGAGAGAGATGAAGCATGCTGCTCGCGGGGAAAAGAAGGAGAGAGGTGCTGCGGCGGTTCAAGAGTTGGATAAGGGTGCAGTTCGAGAGGGGGGGTTGGTGAAGAAGTCGGGTGGGGGTGTGTTGGCCTGGTTGGATGACCCTAATGTGTCTGTGTTCTGCATGGACAAGGGTGAGGGTTCAAAGACCCTTCATGTACCGGGCAGGGAGGTGGGAAACAAGTGCGGGAAGGGAGCAAGAACGGAAGGGAAGAACGAGAAGGGGGGTATTGGCGGTAAGGGAACATCTCAAAGACAAGAGGGAAGGGGGATGGGCGGAGGGGGGACGGGCGGAGTCAAGGCAGGGGCGATGGGCGGAGTCATGGCAGAGGGGGTGGGAGGAGTCAAGGGAGAGGGGATGGATGGAAAGGCGGTCGCTGTGGGCAGATGCAAGGCAGGGGGAATGAGCGGAGGCAAGGCAGAGGGGCTGGGCGGAGGCAACGGCGGGGGAATGGGCGGAGGCCAGGCAGGGGGGATGGGTGCAAGCCAGGCAAGGGGGGTGGGAGGTAGCAAGGCAGAGGGAACGGGCGGAAACAAGGCAGGTGGGAGGGGTGGAGGCAAGGCAGGGGGGATGGAAGGTGGCTATTCAGGGGGAATGGGCGGAGATAAGGCAGGGGGAAGGGGAGGAGACAAGGCATGGGGAACGGGAGGAGGCAAGGAAGAGGGGTCCGGTGGAAGCAAGGCAGGGGGAACGGGAGGAGGCAAGGCAGGGGGAACGGGAGGAGGCAAGGCAGGGGGAACGGAAGGAGGCAAGGCAGGGGGAACGGGAGGAGGCAAGGCAGGGGGAACGGGAGGAGGCAAGGCGGGGGGAACGGGAGGAGGCAAGGCAGGGGGAACGGGAGGAGGCAAGGCGAGGGGAACGGGAGGAGGCAAGGCAGGGGGAACGGGAGGAGGCAAGGCAGGGGGAACGGGAGGAGGCAAGGCAGGGGGAACGGGAGGAGGCAAGGCAGGGGGAACGGGAGGAGGCAAGGCAGGGGGAACGGGAGGAGGCAAGGCAGGGGGAACGGGAGGAGGCAAGGCAGGGGGAACGGGAGGAGGCAAGGCAGGGAGAACGGAAGGAGGCAAGGCAGGGGGAACGGGAGGAGGCAAGGCAGGGAGAACGGAAGGAGGGGGGGCTCGTGGAGTTGGAGGGAAGGAAAAAGTTGACGAGGTTGGTGATTCGGAGAAGAGTCTGGCACCTAAGCAACACGCTGGAGGGAGTGGCAGGGGAACATCAGGTATGTGAGAAAGGGGGTTGGGTGGGAGGTTTGGGTGTTGAGGATTCAGGGGGGGTTGAAATTGGGAGGTGGGGAAGAGGGTTTATGGTTCAGAGGGGGGGTTAGGAGAGGGGGGTTTTGGGTTTAAGGGGGATGGTAGAGGCGGGAAGGGGAGTGGGAGAGGGGGTCAGGGTTTAGGAGGGATGGTAGTGGGGGAGGGGGTTTAGGGTTTAAGGGATAGTAGAAGGGCAAAGGGGGGTGGGAGAGAAGGTTTAGGGTTTTGGGGGATGGTAGAGTTGATGAATGGGGGTGGGATGGGGGTTAGGGTTTAAGGGGATGGTAGGGGGGGAGGGGGGTTGAGGGTTTAAGGGGGATGGTAGAAGGAGGGACGGGGGGTGGGAGAGGGGGGTTTAGGGTTTTGGGGGGATGGTAGGGGGGGGGGGGAAGGGGGTTGGGAGAGAGTGTGGAGGGGTGTCATCGGGGGGTGAGAGAGAGGGTTATGGCTATAGAGAGGGGTGGTAAGGGGGGGGGGGAAGGGTCGTTGGGGCGATGGGATTCAGGGTTTACAGGGGAGTGGTACAGGGGGGAAAGGGGGTTGCAGAGGTGGGGTTGCTCAACGCAAAAGCACAGTTAATCCACTGTTGTCATTCTCTTGCATTCGTGTTGTGTTGCTCCTAACCCTTGTCTTCCCTTGCTACAGAAAACCTTGTGTACTTGATGAGTTGCCCCTAAACTCTGTTGTTTATTGTCTCTTCGCCCTCAAGCTCTGTTATGTTATTCGTGATGCTTTATTTCTGTGCCCTGCTGTTCCGCATTTACCCATACTTTCCAAGTCAGGGGCAGGACCATCGGGAACATGCACAGCACGTGACAGCACATGGGTGGAATTTGGGTCGTGCAAGGAAGGAGCTGCAGTGCTTTGCTCGGAGAGTCAACTAAAGCGAATGAAGGGGGCGGCCTCTAAGACGGACCTGGTGGCATTGGAAGCGCGATTACTGACTGCTATTAACAAGAAATTTGGTGGTGGAGGCGCTGTGATTGCGATGATGACCGATCCCAATGGAGAGGCCGGAGGGGATGATGCTCCTGCCTCTTCATCGCTCACCAATCCTGCCAAACCAGCACCGGCAAAATCAGCTCCGGCCAGTCCGTTCGCCATTGCTAAGGATGTGGTTGCCAAAGGGGTCTCTGACTTCGAGGTTAGTATCCATGTTAACATTCGCTGATCCGCCCTCTAGAGACTCTTTAACGCTCGCCCTCCTCACACCGTCTCGAATCCCCTTCCTCTTCCACATCTCTCCCTCTCCCCCCAGCAATCCCACCCGGGACCTATAAAACCTTGAGCGATTGATTGTACCCCGAACGTGGAACATCACTTACTGCAACGTGCCATCCCATTTCCTTCCAACCCTAACTCACAAACCTCCAGGATTTTGGTGTGGATGACCGTAAACACTGGAACATCCCTCCCTCCCTCCACCAACCCCCCTCCCGCGTAACTCGACCCTCTAAACACTCCATCCCCCCATCCACCACCCACCCCTTACCCTTCAATCCTAGTGTTTTGGCGACAATGGTCCTGAAGTCCTGAACTCCCTCTCCCCCTTTCCACCCTTCCCCCATGTCATTCTTAAACCTTCCCCTTTCCACCCTCATGTTATAGGTGAGGATGACCCTGAGGCCTTGAAACCCCTTTCCCCCTCCACTCACCCTCCTGGCCCCTTTAAACCCTTTCCCCCCCCCCACCTTCAGGATTTTGGCATGTATAACCTTAAATCCTACAACATTCCTCCCCCCTCCCCCCCCTCCTCCTGCCTCCTCCCCCTCTGAAACCTTCTTCCCTCTGCCCACCCTTCACCCACTTACACCCCTCCTCATCCACACACCACCCCTGTCCTTCCTAAACCCTCCTCTTTCCACCCCCAGGCTTTTCCTGATGATAATCCAAGAACCTTGACTCATAATCACCCTCCTGCATAACCCCCCTCCAAACCCTCCCTCCTCCCACCCACCTGAAACCCCCCAACCTCTAAACCCCATGGGTGTTGGCGAGGTGAACCTTAAGGGTCTGAAATCCCCATCCCCCTTAACTCACTCACCCTGGTATCCCTAAACCCTCCCGCCCACCCTCAGGAATTTTGGTGTGTTTGACCTTAAACCCTTGAAACATCTTTCCCCTGCTCCACCAACCCTGCACTCCCCTTCACCCTCTCCCAAACCCTAAACCCTCCCCTCCCCCCTTGCCCCCCTCCCCACCCCGTTCCAACCCCTAAACCACAGGAGCTTTGTAAGAGTGTGGTGACTTTCATGTGTTACAACATTGAAGCAAAGCTGATTCAGTTCTATCCCACAGTTGACGAAGCCTTGGAGGTGGGGTTCAAGGAATTTGTGTCGCCGGAAGTTTTAGTTGCGCTCCAGAAGCTTTTTATGCACAATGATCCAGGAACACGTGGTGTGTTCTATGCTCTTGTTTCAACCACCCGGACCACCATCAATGGCACGATGCGCAAGCAAGCCTTGACTGCGCTGGGTTGGGAGAACAACTCTTGCTACGTCACGAAGCTTCTTCCGGAGCTGCCACGGCCAAAGGAATTTCTCAAAACGGAAGCATTCAAGGCACGCTACATGAGTGGTACGTTTTGTATGCTGGAGTGTGTTATATTATCAATGAATAGTATACATTAGTGAGATTTGTTTCAATGTGGTTTGCAAATGTGTTGTGAATGTTTTGTGTGTGTGTTGGTGGGTGTGTGTGTGTGTGTGTATGTGTGTGAGTGTGATTGTGTGACAGGTCGTTGGGGTCTTGGTTGGCACTGCGATGAGCACGGAAAGCCATTTGCAACGCTGATTTTTGCAGTGTCGGTGCGTCACGCATTGACGAGGCGCGGAGTAGTGCTGGACAAGCTGAAGATTCGACAGATTGCCTGGATCCTGTATGCTGTAAGTGGTAGCAGATATGCAAGTGTTGTATTTAACTGCATGCGGTTGCTATGTGTTCGAACCCTTAACCTTAGAAGCAGTGGGTGGATGACCTCACAACTTCTCCTTCCTACCTACACACTCTTCACTCCAATCTCCTTCACCTCGGCTTCCCACTTCTCCCCTTTTCACCCTCTGTTTTCCCCACTCCCCCCCACCATTTTCATAATGCAAGTACCTTGAATGGCTTTAAACTTGGATTGAGGCTCAAACGCTTCTATTTCCCTAATCACTATCAAACCCCCGGTTCCTTAAACCAATCTTGTGTGGCATTCCATATACTAAGCATTCCTCATTTCACCACTCCATCTCCTCTCCACTGTTTTTTCCCTCCCCCCTTGCCATGCCAGTGAAGGGCTTCTATACTGCTGTGGGGCAAGATGACCATAGACCTCAAACCCGAAACCATTAAAGTTTTGACCATTACCCTACCCTTTTTTGGCTCTTGTTTTCCCTCAATCAGGTGGAATGGCCATTTTTGGATCAGTCCCCGGAGCGAAGGTTGTCGGGCAAGTCTGAAGAAAACCGTCTCAACTACGAAGCGATGTGCTCCCGTTGCAAGGAGTGGGTGGAGTTCGCGGTGATGGAGCATGGAGTGGCGTACGATAGCGGCATGGATGTGTTCGTCTTTCCGAACCACATCTTGATCGACGCCAGCGACTTTGGGCCTTTCGTTGCAAGGTTGCAGGTATGTCAAAGCTTTCGATGTGAAACCATATGTGCATGATATCAAGTGGACTTACATAGATGTTATTTGATTGTGCAGAACACTCCAACTATCCAAATGGTATGAATGACCATGGATCAAGGCAGCATGAAACGTGGTGCATGTGTGGGCCAGTAATAAGTGATGGGCCGCAGTAAATGTGGGGCAGCAGTAAGCGTGGGGCAGCAGTGGACTTGGGGAAACAGTAAGCGTGGGGCAGCAGTGGACTTGGGGAAACAGTAAGCGTGGGGCAGCAGTAGACTTGGGGCATCAGCCAATGTGGGGCAGAAATGAATATTTTGCGCTCAGCAAGTGTGGTGGCAGCAATAATGGGACAGCAACAGAGTGGCGACAGCATGTGTGCGGCAACAGCAAACAGAGGGCAGCAACAACTGAAAGGTAGCAAAATGCGAGTGTCAGCATGACACATGGGGCAGCTACTGGTGTGGGATAGCAGCATGTGTGTGGCAGCAGCAGGGATGGAGCAGCAAGTGAGGGGTAGTACCATGTGGGGCAGCAGCAGGGATGGAGCAGCAAGTGAGGGGTAGTACCATGTGGGGCAGCAACAGAGATGGAGCAGCAAGTGAGGGGTAGTACCATGTGGGGCAGCAGCAGGGATGGAGCAGCAAGTGAGGGGTAGTACCATGTGGGGCAGCAGCAGGGATGGAGCAGCAAGTGAGGGGTAGTACCATGTGGGGCAGCAACAGAGATGGAGCAGCAAGTGAGGGGTAGTACCATGTGGGGCAGCAGCAGGGATGGAGCAGCAAGTGAGGGGTAGTACCATGTGGGGCAGCAGCAGGGATGGAGCAGCAAGTGAGGGGTAGTACCATGTGGGGCAGCAACAGAGATGGAGCAGCAAGTGAGGGGTAGTACCATGTGGGGCAGCAGCAGGGATGGAGCAGCAAGTGAGGGGTAGTACCATGTGGGGCAGCAGCAGGGATGGAGCAGCAAGTGAGGGGTAGTACCATGTGGGGCAGCAGCAGGGATGGAGCAGCAAGTGAGGGGTAGTACCATGTGGGGCAGCAGCAGGGATGGAGCAGCAAGTGAGGGGTAGTACCATGTGGGGCAGCAGCAGGGATGGAGCAGCAAGTGAGGGGTAGTACCATGTGGGGCAGCAGCAGGGATGGAGCAGCAAGTGAGGGGTAGTACCATGTGGGGCAGCAGCAGGGATGGAGCAGCAAGTGAGGGGTAGTACCATGTGGGGCAGCAGCAGGGATGGAGCAGCAAGTGAGGGGTAGTACCATGTGGGGCAGCAGCAGGGATGGAGCAGCAAGTGAGGGGTAGTACCATGTGGGGCAGCAGCAGGGATGGAGCAGCAAGTGAGGGGTAGTACCATGTGGGGCAGCAGCAGGGATGGAGCAGCAAGTGAGGGGTAGTACCATGTGGGGCAGCAACAGAGATGGAGCAGCAAGTGAGGGGTAGTACCATGTGTGGCGGCACTAGAGATGCAGCAGCTAGGGGTAGTACCATTAGTGTGGCAGCTTGTGTATGGCAGTAGCAAAAGTTAGGCAGCAAAGGGTGACGGATAGGAACACGAGTGTGGGAGCAACAAAGATGGAGCAGCACCAAGTGAGGAGTAGCAGTATATGTGTAGCAGCAGGAAAGACGGGGCAACACCGAGTGATGGATGTGTGGCAGCCACAATCTTGAAGCAATTGCAAGTGTAGGGCAGCCGTCAAGAGGTTGGGATAGAGGGATGGGCAGTAGAGGGGGGGACAAGAGCGGTATGACGAAGGGTGGGGTGCGGGGTGAGCAGCCATGAAAGGGGGGGTGATGAATGCGAAAGCTCCAGTATGGGAGTGGCGGCATTGTAGGCGATGGTTGCATTGTAATGTGTAGGGCAGTTATTTGGATATATTAGCTTTGTAATAGTGTTTAATTAATGGCAAATTTGGCCCCCAACCAGTGCTCGATCCTTCATAAGTGGAACGAAATTGGTGTGCATATGGAGCAAAATGGGACAAATCTCTTCCTGGATTTGGCCTGTACTTTGCCTAAGAAGATACCTAATTCAGACATGATTCCTACCTTGTTTTAACCCTGATTTTGGCCAATATCCAACCTTCCAACTAGTCCAAATTTGGTCTCCCAAAAAGGACCAAATTTGGGCCAATTTTAGTCCCACAAGACCAAATTTGGACCAATTTTGGCCCAAATTAGGGGGCCTTGTTTTGTGATGATGTGAGGTCAGCAACGTGCTCCAGCCCACGGAACTCTCGCAGATTGTCTTCCGAGATGCGACGCAGCTTCCAGGCCGCGGCGCGGCTATTAGTTACCAGGTGCTCAATGCTGTCCGCAATCTTTTTGGGAGTCGGCTGCTCGTCACTGGCCAGCAATCGCGAGTATTCAGCTTGCATCACAACAGCTGCAATGTCGGGTAGTCGCGTACAAACACGTGAATGTTACCAGGCCTCGTTTTGGCTGTCCTTGTGCGCGGCCACGTCGGGCCCTGGTATCGGCTGTACGGCTCGGTGTTGTCTCGGTCGCGTGCACACCGCCAGCGTCGCTTGTTGTTGTTCACGGTTCCCAAAACGAACTGGGACGCGGAGGATGCCATAGCTAAAAGTGAGTGGGTGTGTGAGAACTTGCAAAGGACGAATGAGTAGAAAATGCGTTCCTTGCCTTTGCGAAATGCGTTCTTGAGATTGCAAGATCTGGCCCGCATGACTCGTTATTGCACTACAAGCTCCTGTGTGTTTAGGCCATGTCATGCTGTAGAAACAAATAGCACCTTCCGAAATTTTAGAACTTGGTGTATCGGAAGAAATATCCGTTACACGCTTGGTGAGGTGTCACTACAATCGGAATGATTGTGCGGGTCATATGAAACCCTATACAGGTCAGCGCACGCATTCCATATCACTTGAAGGAGTGTCCAGCGCTGGCTCAACTTAGTATCTAGATTTTTAGTAGGTGCCGGGCAGGAGAACGTGCCAGTCGCGTCATCTGGCACAACCTACAGTTTGTACTCTACGCCTTCGAATCTTGTGGAGTCTCATCGTCGACTTGACATTGGCTTACCCGACGTTACGGCATCTTAGCGAGCACCTGATTCGTCACTAATATACTGCCTGACGTGGCTTGGATTACTGCGAGAAGAGGCTCGGGGCGCGGAGTTTATCGTGGCTTAGCCCGCCCTGGAAGGCATCGTCACGCGATAGGCGCGTCAACCGTGTGTCTAACCGTCTGCGGCTAACGGGATAAATATGTGTCAGAATATTATCTTATTGTTCTAGCCTGTAGTGGGGTGCTCTATAGCGAGTACAACCCTTCTAGGGTTTGCTATTTGTATCCCCATTTCTGCTAGTTCAATCCTCTTTCTTTCTTCAAACTTTGTCAATATGGCCTCAAAATATGTGCATTTCATCAAACAGAGCATGCAAGGCGAGCTGCTGCGATGCCGCCTGTATCTTACCTTTTTGCCTGTGAATGGTGCCTCGAGCACTTCACGCAACGCACAGCGCTGGTAGCTCACAAGCTGCATAGTCACGAATGCCGTAGGCAACGCAGGCGGTACTTTCGGTTCCTCCGTGCCAACCCCTTCGCTGACATCAATGACTATTTTGCCGAGGCATCTCTGACTGCCGAAGACGAGCCGACATCCGATGCTGAAGATGAGGGAGACATGGAAGAGGTGAGCCCATTCATGTGTAATGTTGCTATATAGGTTGGGATTTCACTGCACGCATGTGAGTAGCAGACTTAACCAAGTCCGGCCTTTATTCCGTTTCCGTGCAGGGCTCTGAAGGCCAACCCCCCGGCGGTGCAGGCACCAACGAGGAAGTGCAGTCGGAGGATGGGTCTGACTGGGAGAGCGACTTCGGCGACGGTGATTCAACTGAGAGCGATGATGACGACAGCGCCGTCGACGAGAACGATTTCAACACAGCCTTGGAGTTCTTCCGCTTCGTCATCGGATGCAATGGCGGCCAAGGACTTAGCGACGAGGCCACGGTCTGGCTTTTCAAGCTCCTGCGCGACCCCCGCCTGGATCTGGAGGCTATTCGCCGCTGGCGTACCAAACACGCCGTCCTTCAGTACGGACTTCGCCTCATGATGGCGAGGCGGGTGTACAGGCAGGTGGAAGTGCGCATCCCAGGGATCGACCACACATTCGAGCTGATGTGTACCAGCCCTATCGAGGTACGATTTGCAATCAGAGTTTGCACTTGCCTCTGTCCACCCTTCCTTCAGTCAACACTTGCCTCTGTCCGCCCTTGCCTCTGTCCGCCCTTGCCTCTGTCCGCCCTTGCCTCTGTCCGCCCTTGCCTCTGTCCACCCTTGCCTCATTTCGCCCTTGCCTCATTTCGCCCTTGCCTCATTTTGCCCTTGCCTCATTTCGCCCTTGCCTCATTTCGCCCTTGCCTCATTTCGCCCTTGCCTATGTCCTCCCTTGACACTGTCCGCACTTGCTCCGGCGCAGGGAGTCGTGGAGATATTCGGCCACCGTGACAATGCAGATGGCTTCCAGCTGTTTGCCCGTCCGGTACACTCGGTGGCGGGACGCGTGTACACAAGGCCGGAGACTGGTCTTCTGTGGGAAGCCGCACAGGTACGGGACTGTGTTTCTGGGTTGTACCCCCTTTGTAACTAGTTTAAGGCGTTTCTCATCTGGGTTTCTCCAAATGGGGCCGGCCACAAATCACAATCCTGTTTCCCACGTTGCTCAGTTATTGTGTTGATCTGGAACAAAGCTGCCCTTGTTGTGTTTGTTGTTGGCAGAACGTCCTGGGCGAGATCTATGGCCCGGGCCAGGTGGTGGCCCCCATCATACTTTCAAGTGATGCTACGATTCTCAGCGGGAACGAGCGCGTGAAGGTTTGGGCGGTTTACCTAAGCATCGCCAACATCCACCTCCGTCTCCGTTGGGGTGATTCGGGGAAGATTCTGCTTGCACTACTCCCAATGCCTGTCCATGGAATGACGGTCGAGCAGAAGGTGCAGCTCTTTCAAGCTGCGATGCAGGTGGTCCTCGCTGACCTGATTGCCGCATCACACACGTGAGTGCCAGCAGCCATTGGCCCAGCCAAAGCCGCAGTCCGCCCTTCACTCAGTGTTTTTTTATTGCCTTAACACGCCCTTGGCTCTTTCCGTCATTGCGTCAATGTGCCCTTGGCTCTGCCCCCCTGGCATCTTTCTGCCTTTGCCTCTCTTCGTCGTTGCCTCAATACTCCCTTGCTACAGGGGGATTGCGGCCCGCGATCCATGGGGGGTGGACCGGGTCATATGGCCTCTGCTCTTCTCGTACGTAGCGGACTTCCCAGAAACCTGCAAGGTTTCGTGCACTCAGCAGCATGGCAGTCATATGCCATGCTCCCTGTGCTACGTGGATAGGGGGCAGCTCAGGAACATGACGGCAGCTGCATCGGAGTCGCGCTCTGTGGACCAGCAATCGTCACTGGATTACCAATCCTCGGCTGGCCAGGACGTACTCCACGCTCTGTGTCGCGGTATGTATCGGCTCTAAGTTGGAGGTTTGCGCCTGTCGTGGCCTGGTTGTTCAGCCCATGCGGTAGGCACCGTGTTTACGTTGTTTTTGCTCTGTGCATGCAGTCGTTCCTCTGGGAGTGGAACTTCTCCCGTACACTTTGGGGGAACACCTACCTCTCCCAGATGCCAGACATCCTACACATCATCTACCTCGGGTTCTGGCTGTACCTTCGCGCTGCACTGCGTGGCCCTGATTCCCGCGCCACCACCTTAGACAGGTACGTTTGCCCCTAGGCATTTGCTAGGCGGGTGTCCAGCTCGACTGTCCGCACTTGCCTTTGTCCGTCCTTGCTCTGTCCGCCCTTGCCTCTGTCCGCCCTTGCCACTGTCCGCCCTTTGCCTCTGTCCGCCCTTGCCTCTGTCCGCCCTTGCCTCTGTCCGCCCTTGCCTCTATCCGCCCTTGCCTTTGTCCGCCCTTGCCTCTGTCCGCCCTTGCCTCTGTCCGCCCCTTGCCTCTTCCCGCCCTTGCCCTGTGGGTACTTGCTCTGTCCGCCCTTGCCTCTGTCCGCCCCTTGCCTCTTCCAGCCCTTGCCCTGTGGGTACTTGCTCTGTCCGCCCTTGCCTCTGTCCGCCCTTGCCACTGTCCGCCCTTGCCTCTGTCCGCCCTTGCCACTGTCCGCCCTTTGCCTCTGTCCGCCCTTGCCTCTGTCCGCCCTTGCCTCTGTCCGCCCTTGCCTCTGTCCGCCCCTTGCCTCTTCCCGCCCTTGCCCTGTGGGTACTTGCTCTGTCCGCCCTTGCCTCTGTCCGCCCCTTGCCTCTTCCCGCCCTTGCCCTGTGGGTACTTGCCTCTGTCCGCCCTTTGCCTCTGCCCGCCCCTTGCCTCTTCCCGCCCTTGCCCTGTGGGTACTTGCTCTGTCCGCCCTTGCCTCTGTCCGCCCTTGTCAATACGCATTTGCCTAATGTGATGCAACCTCACGAGGTCAAACCCACTGCGATTGGTGCCCAAGATGTCTCCGGCATTGTTTCACTATTGCTTGCTTTCGTTGCTATCAACATTCTTCATATGGTGCAGGCGTCAGAATGCACTACACCCAGGCGCCAGGCAGGTGGGACTGCTAACTCCTGGAGACGCGAGCTACTGGGTCTCTGGTGCCAACTTCACCGCGTCGGAGCATGCCGCTGTCATGATGGTGCGCCCTTACCTTCTAGTTTATGCTCTTGTACGAGTGCCCAATGCACGTGACGGTTGTCAGATGGCATTTGCTGACTACGCGCTTCCTGTGTGGCAGATTGTACCATTCGTGCTGGAGGGGGAAGTTGCGGTCATTTGTAGCCGCACGATTGTCGCCTTTCTGGACTGGCACGAGACTTTCGTGCGGGCTGCGGAGCACACGGATGAGAGTCTGAGTGCATTCGACACTGCCACTCGCAGGTATGCTGTGTGTGAGCTTGTCCACAAGCGCTGCAGTTGCCGCCAGCGTTATGCGGGAGTCTAGTCTAATGCTTGACACTTATTCTCTTTGTTTCCATGCTTTCAGGATGGTGCAGTTGGTGGAAAGCACCTTTCCACGCGAGCACTCTGGGTGGAACCTTGTGAAGGTGCACCTGCTGCTTCACCTTACTGAGGCGATTCGAAGGGGGGGCCTGCCACGAGAGTACTCCGCGGCGGTGTACGAGAACGCACACATCCGCACCTGCAAGAGGCCGTACCGACGGTCCAACCTTCGGGACGTGGGGCGTGTGATTGCGCAGCACAACACCAACGCTGCTCTACTGACCCGTATCCCAACCAACCTCGAGGGCAACCGCCAGTACAACACCGCGAGGCGCCGGGTAAGGACGCATGTAAGGATCCCTAATGTGTGCTGTAATTATGCATGTCGGGTCATTCCGCCATTGCCCTTTGCCTCTGTCCCCCCTTGCCTCTGTCCCCCCTTGCCTCTGTCCCCCCTTGCCTCTGTCCGCCCTTTGCGGTTGTCCCCCCTTGAATCTGTCCGCCCCTTGCCTCTGTCCCCCCTTGCCTCTGTCCGCCCCTTGCCTCTGTCCGCCCTTTGCCTCTGTCCCCCCTTGAATCTGTCCGCCCCTTGCCTCTATCCCCCCTTGCCTCTGTCCGCCCCTTGCCTCTGTCCGCCCCTTGCCTCTGTCCGCCCCTTGCCTCTGTCAACCCCTTGCAGTATGACTGAGGGGTGGTGATAGTTTAAAGGCTTGTGGGCTGAAAGACGTTGTCTGGCCCCATCCGCCTGTTTGGCGGGTGCTGAGTTGCAGACCATGTGTTCATTTGCCCCCCCACACCCACATGTCATCACACTGCAGGCAATCGCCAGTGGGCTGCCCCAGCTGTGCCGCCAGCGATCCAGGATGCACAGCGCGATCACGGACAGGGAGCAGGCTCCCCTGGACCTGTACGCGACGTACGATGCCGCAATCCCGGGAGGCATTGGGCCATACGCCTACTTGACGCGCCTCTTTGGCTACGTCTCTTTTCCGGCGTGGGTAAGTACTGGGTTCTGCTGCCCCCATGACAACACCATGCTCGCTCTCCTTTTCCACCATGTTTTTGAACGTACTACCACCCTGCCACGTCTCCTGCCCCCTTACCCCTCTCGTGCCATCAGGTCCACATGGCGCTGGCTCTACCAGCCCGCGGGACGGACCACGGCCTGATCAGGCCACACTATGTCCGCGCCAACCCCCCTCACCACGGTGCTGCCACATTCTCGTTCATTGAGTACGAGGATGGGACTGGGGAGACCGTGGTCGGCCGCGTGCACCTGCTCCTGACGCTGATGATGAACAGCGAGGATGCACACCCCGCGGGAGAGGCCGTGGCCTTCGTGAGGCAATGGTACCCCTCCCTGGAGGACGAGTGCACTGGCTGCATGAGGATGCGGCCATCTGATGACGAGCTGAGCTACGACCTTGTGCCGGTCGCCTCCGTGCAGAGGACCGTGCACATGGTGGAGTCATTTGTGACGCCTGGCCTCTGGTATCTTAACAGGTGGGCTGGCCGATGCCGCGAGGAGTTGCCCTAAGGCCGCCCAGGAATATGCAGTGAATCAAGGTTCTTCTTTTGTGCTGGAATGATTGTCACCAAGCCTTCTCTATGGTTTGGTTGCTACTAGGAAAGTGGAGATGCGTGTCGGTACTTGCCTCTGAAATCTATTTCTTTCCAATTGGGTGTTATCGTAGCTTAGAGGGGTCCCTTGTGTGGCTAGTAGTTGTTGTGTGCCTGTTTTTTATAATATTTTATTCTGATGGACGTGAAGTTTTTTGTTGAATCACAGGCACAACACTATGTTCTTAACTCTTATCGGATGCTACAGTTTTGAGATGTTAACACGGAAGCTTGCAGAGCGTATACCAACCCCAGCTGGAGACACAATGTGAAAGGGGTTGCATTGGTAGTAGCTAGCGTGACAGTGCGCAGGCAATGCCTGGGCCGGAAAAATTGCTTCGGGAGTGCACACAGCTTTCGAAGCCATGCCCCAGCGCGCATGGCTGAAGGATACGCCGGATGTTGACAGGTTTTGGGCGTCCCGTTTTTTGCGACGGCGCTCTTGGCAGTAGCACCAGCCGCGCTGAGAATGAAGAGCAATACGACGGAAAGCGCCAGAAGCGTGGGCTTGTAAGCCATAATTACGAGCGCAACGTGCGAATTACGAACACTACAGACGGGATTAAAAGGAAAATTGTGTGATGATGAATGGGGTCTGGCGGGTAACTTTATACTGATGCTCGTGGAGCACCTACGAGTGGTGTTGTGTGAAATGGGACAGATCACAAAAAGCAGAGTCGGAAAACTGGACGCGTTCGGCTGGAATTCTGTTTGACCCTCGGAAATCTGACAGAAAACTATGAAGTTCTTCCGTCAGAAATCACACTACTGGATCGATGATGTTTCCAACTGATTTCTAGTCAGATTTCAGACAGATGCTTACCAACAGATTTCGCTCGAGCATTCCTTGAGTTTTCCGTCAGATTTCCGTCGCTGCTCGCCCGAATCCGCGGGACCTAAAAAACAATTATTTCACATGATGTCCCGTTTACTATTCGCTACATGCTAGACCGTAGCACTTCAATTATCACAACTACTATTTATAATTATTTATGGCTATTTCATATATTCGTTATAAGCATTCAATACAATAAATAGCATTTTTAAATCCACTACAGAATCTTACCGTATTGAGAACCTACAATAACTACTATTAATCCCAGATTACTACGCACTAAACCACCAACATTCAGGCAAACTTTCTACCCAGTGACGTTTTTCTTCAGCGATGCCGGGTAGTCGCTCGCGTCGATACAAACACCATTGCCAAACAGGAATGCGTTCTTGCGTGAATCATAGCGCACGCCCATGGTGGTGACAGCTAGCTCCACCCATTTTCTGCACTTAACCACAGTACTCTCGTACTTTTCCCGGTTGACTTCAGGATTGTTTGTCATCCTGCCCTCTTCCTCCAATAGAGGACATTCCAGCTGCAAGGGAACAACGAGTATTTTAATTAAGCTCCGCTAGATGCTGATAAATATGCTTGCGCATTATCTGTCTACTTGTTCTTACCACGAGAACAGCATACGCGATCTGACGGGTCTTGAACGCCCCCAGTGTCACATTGGTCCGTGTGAATGCATGTCTTATCCCCACTGCAAAGGCTTTGCTGGAGAATGGCAACTGCGTGTCTTCTGTATCCACATGGATACGTAAACCTCCCATCTCTTCTGTAAAGTGGGTAAAGGAGCACAGAGAGGGTTTAGGGTGAGAGCAGGAGGGTAGAGTTTACACCATCAAGAGCAAAATAGAGCCACGTACACATCTTCAAAGCTCTTCACTGATCTGTTCAATCTCGAGCAACGTCAGGGAGACAAGGACAATGCACAGAGGAGCAATATAGAGGCCCACGCACACCTTTGCCTCCCCCTCCCTCTGCATTTCCTGCCAATGGCAGGGAGCTAAGGATAGAGAAGGCTGCGTGAGCAGCTCTGAGGCCCACGCAAACCTCAGCCTATCCCTCCTTCATCCTCTGCGCATTTCCTGACAGTGGACGGGGGATAGGGACAGAGAGAGGAAGGATGAGATAAAACCAGTCTCAATAGATGCAGCATGGAGGCCCACACACACCTCAGCCACTCCCTCCATCTGCTTTCATGCATTTCCTGCCAAGGCAGGGAGAAAAGCACATAAGTGGGAAAGGATGAGAGCAATAGCATGGTTGAATTAAACCCAATATGAGCAGCATGTAGACCCATGCACACCTCAGCCTCTCCCTCCCTCCACCTCTGTGCATTTCCTGCCAACGGCAGGGAGATAAGGACAGATACAGAGGAAAGGATGAGAGGAGTAGCAGGGTATGAATCAAACCCAATACAAGCAGCATGGAGGCTCACACACACCACGGCCTCCTTCCCTACTCCTCTGTGCATTTCCTGCCCATTGCAGGGAGATAAGGACAGTTAGAGAGGAAAGGATGAGGGGAGCAGCGTGGTATGAATCAAACCCAATACAAGCAGCATGGAGGCTCACACACACCACGGCCTCTTCTTCCCTCCTCCTCTGTGCGTGTCCTGCCAATGGCGGGGAGAAAAGGAGACGGAGAGAGAGGACAAGATGAGAGTAGCTACGGGCCCACGCACGCCTCAGCCTCTCCCTCCCTCCTCCTCTGTGCGTGTCCTGCCAATGGCAGGGAGATAAGGAGACAGAGAGAGAGGACAAGATGAGAGTAGCTACGGGCCCACGCACTCCTCACCCTCTCCCTCCCTCCTCCTCTGTGCGTGTCCTGCCAATGGCAGGGAGATAAGGAGACAGAGAGAGAGGACAAGATGAGAGTAGCTACGGGACCACGCACTCCTCACCCTCTCCCTCCCTCCTCCTCCGTGCGTGTCCTGCCAATGGCAGGGAGATAAGGACAGAGAGAGAGGAAGGATGAGATAAAACCAATGTCAATAGATGCAGCATGGAGGCCCACACACACCTCAACCACTCCCTCCATCTGCTTTCATGCATTTCCTGCCAAGGCAGGGAGATAAGCACATAAGTGGGAAAGGATGAGAGCAATAGCATGGTTGAATTAAACCCAATATGAGCAGCATGTAGACCCATGCACACCTCAGCCTCTCCCTCCCTCCACCTCTGTGCATTTCCTGCCAACGGCAGGGAGATAAGGACAGATACAGAGGAAAGGATGAGAGGAGTAGCAGGGTATGAATCAAACCCAATACAAGCAGCATGGAGGCTCACACACACCACGGCCTCCTTCCCTACTCCTCTGTGCATTTCCTGCCCATTGCAGGGAGATAAGGACAGTTAGAGAGGAAAGGATGAGGGGAGCAGCGTGGTATGAATCAAACCCAATACAAGAAGCATGGAGGCTCACACACACCACGGCCTCTTCTTCCCTCCTCCTCTGTGCGTGTCCTGCCAATGGCGGGGAGAAAAGGAGACGGAGAGAGAGGACAAGATGAGAGTAGCTACGGGCCCACGCACTCCTCAGCCTCTCCCTCCCTCCTCCTCTGTGCGTGTCCTGCCAATGGCAGGGAGATAAGGAGACAGAGAGAGAGGACAAGATGAGAGTAGCTACGGGCCCACGCACTCCTCACCCTCTCCCTCCCTCCTCCTCTGTGCGTGTCCTGCCAATGGCAGGGAGATAAGGAGACAGAGAGAGAGGACAAGATGAGAGTAGCTACGGGCCCACGCACTCCTCACCCTCTCCCTCCCTCCTCCTCTGTGCGTGTCCTGCCAATGGCAGGGAGATAAGGACAGAGAGAGAGGAAGGATGAGATAAAACCAATGTCAATAGATGCAGCATGGAGGCCCACACACACCTCAACCACTCCCTCCATCTGCTTTCATGCATTTCCTGCCAAGGCAGGGAGATAAGCACATAAGTGGGAAAGGATGAGAGCAATAGCATGGTTGAATTAAACCCAATATGAGCAGCATGTAGACCCATGCACACCTCAGCCTCTCCCTCCCTCCACCTCTGTGCATTTCCTGCCAACGGCAGGGAGATAAGGACAGATACAGAGGAAAGGATGAGAGGAGTAGCAGGGTATGAATCAAACCCAATACAAGCAGCATGGAGGCTCACACACACCACGGCCTCCTTCCCTACTCCTCTGTGCATTTCCTGCCCATTGCAGGGAGATAAGGACAGTTAGAGAGGAAAGGATGAGGGGAGCTGCGTGGTATGAATCAAACCCAATACAAGCAGCATGGAGGCTCACACACACCACGGCCTCTTCTTCCCTCCTCCTCTGTGCGTGTCCCGCCCATGGCGGGGAGAAAAGGAGACAGCTAGAGAGGACAATACGAGAGTAGCTACGGGCCCACGCACTCCTCACCCTCTCCCTCCCTCCTCCTCTGTGCGTGTCCTGCCAATGGCAGGGAGATAAGGAGACAGAGAGAGAGGACAAGATGAGAGTAGCTACGGGCCCACGCACTCCTCACCCTCTCTCTACCTCCTCCTCTGTGCGTGTCCTGCCAATGTCAGGGAGATAAGGAGACAGAGAGAGAGGACAAGATGATAGTAGCTACGGGCCCACGCACTCCTCACCCTCTCCCTCCCTCCTCCTCTGTGCGTGTCCTGCCAATGGCAGGGAGATAAGGAGACAGAGAGAGAGGACAAGATGAGAGTAGCTACGGGCCCACGCACTCCTCACCCTCTCCCTCCCTCCTCGTCTGTGCGTGTCCTGCCAGTGGCAGGGAGATAAGGAGACACAGAGAGAGGACAAGATGAGAGTAGCTACGGGCCCACGCACTCCTCACCCTTTCCCTCCCTCCTCCTCTGTGCGTGTTCTGCCAATGGCAGGGAGATAAGGAGACGGAGAGAGAGGACAAGATGAGAGTAGCTACGGGCCCACGCACTCCTCACCCTCTCCCTCCCTCCTCCTCTGTGCGTGTCCTGCCAATGGCAGGGAGATAAGGAGACAGAGAGAGAGGACAAGATGATAGTAGCTACGGGCCCACGCACTCCTCACCCTCTCCCTCCCTCCTCCTCTGTGCGTGTCCTGCCAATGGCGGGGAGATAAGGAGACAGAGAAAGAGGACAAGATGAGAGTAGCTATGGGCCCACGCACTCCTCACCCTCTCCCTCCCTCCTCCTCTGTGCGTGTCCTGCCAATGGCGGGGAGATAAGGAGACAGAGAGAGAGGACAAGATGAGAGTAGCTACGGGCCCACGCACTCCTCAGCCTCTCCCTTCTTCCTCCTCTGTGCGTGTCCTGCCAATGGCGGGGAGATAAGGAGACAGAGAGAGAGGACAAGATGAGAATAGCTACGGGCCCACGCACTCCTCAGCCTCTCCCTCCCTCCTCCTCTGTGCGTGTCCTGCCAATGGCGGGGAGATAAGGAGACAGAGAGAGAGGACAAGATGAGAGTAGCTACGGGCCCACGCACTCCTCACCCTCTCCCTCCCTCCTCCTCTGTGCGTGTCCTGCCAATGGCGGGGAGAAAAGGAGACAGAGAGAGAGGACAGAGGCAATGAGAGTAGCTACGGGCCCACGCACTCCTCACCCTCTCCCTCCCTCCTCCTCTGTGCGTGTCCTGCCAATGGCAGGGAGATAAGGAGACAGAGAGAGAGGACAAGATGAGAGTAGCTACGGGCCCACGCACTCCTCACCCTCTCCCTCCCTCCTCCTCTGTGCGTGTTCTGCCAATGGCAGGGAGATAAGGAGACAGAGAGAGAGGACAAGATGAGAGTAGCTACGGGCCCACGCACTCCTCACCCTCTCCCTCCCTCCTCCTCTGTGCGTGTCCTGCCAATGGCAGGGAGATAAGGAGACACAGAGAGAGGACAAGATGAGAGTAGCTACGGGCCCACGCACTCCTCACCCTCTCCCTCCCTCCTCCTCTGTGTGTGTCCTGCCAATGGCAGGGAGATAAGGAGACAGAGAGAGAGGACAAGATGAGAGTAGCTACGGGCCCACGCACTCCTCACCCTCTCCCTCCCTCCTCCTCTGTGCGTGTCCTGCCAATGGCAGGGAGATAAGGAGACAGAGAGAGAGGACAAGATGATAGTAGCTACGGGCCCACCCACACCTCACCCTCTCCCTCCATCCTCCTCTGTGCATGTCCTGCCAATGGCGGGGAGATAAGGACAGAGAGGTAGGAAGGGATGAGAGTAGCTACGGGTAAGGAAATTCCTCACCCTCTCCCTCCCTCCTCCTCTGTGCGTGTCCTGCCAATGGCAGGGAGATAAGGAGACAGAGAGAGAGGACAAGATGATAGTAGCTACGGGCCCACGCACTCCTCACCCTCTCCCTCCATCCTCCTCTGTGCGTGTCCTGCCAATGGCAGGGAGATAAGGAGACAGAGAGAGAGGACAAGATGAGAGTAGCTACGGGCCCACGCACTCCTCACCCTCTCCCTCCCTCGTCCTCTGTGCGTGTCCTGCCAATGGCAGGGAGAGACAGAGAGAGAGGACAAGATGATAGTAGCTACGGGCCCACCCACACCTCACCCTCTCCCTCCATCCTCCTCTGTGCGTGTCCTGCCAATGGCGGGGAGATAAGGACAGAGAGGTAGGAAGGGATGAGAGTAGCTACGGGTAAGGAAATTCCCCACCCTCTCCCTCCCTCCTCCTCTGTGCGTGTCCTGCCAATGGTGGGGAGATAAGGACAGAGAGAGAGGAAGGGATGAGAGTAGCTACGGGCCCACGCACACCTCACCCTCTCCCTCACCATGCGACGTACCGTCCATGTAATTTTGGGCGAGTTCCTTGTGTTCATAGAAGGCCTCAGGGCTTTTTACTCCCTTGGGAAGCGCTGCCACCTTGTGTTGCTTCTTTACGCTCCCCAGGGCTGTCCAAACAACAGCTCGTAGCTTCTTCGCGACGTTGCTTCTGTTGGTGTTGCACATCTTGTTGAAAGTCCCCACGATGAATTCGTCGGTTAGGTTCCAAAGAAGCTTTAGATGGGTCATAGCGTCAGGGGATAGTAATTTCGCGAATTCTCCAAGCGCCTCGTCGGTGTTGGGGTAAAACTGAATCTCCATTGCATCGTCGGTCCAGAAGAGGCAAGTCACCACTTGACTGCACGCCCCCTGCCATGACACGAAAGTATTGTGTATCGGGACAAGAACGGATGAAGGCAGGTAATTTGTTCATAGTGTACGATGGAATGATGTATTACGCACCGATACACACGCAATATAACAGGAAGGAAGCGTTTGAACTTACTCGCCAATCCTTTTGCTCGGCCAACACCGCATCCAACGCAATGGCCACCACAGATCTCGTGCGAGGTTTTGGTTTATATTGAACCCCCGCACCACCTCCATATTTCTCGCCTCCATCTGCAGCAGCACCCAGGCTTCCAGATGCTCCACACTGGCAAGTGTGAGCTTGTAAAGCTTGTAGAAACTCCGTTCGTAGTGCAGCCAAATCCCCCTTCGTTGCATACTTATTCATCGCAGCTTGCTCTGCCACCGATGCGACTGGGCGAGGGCCCGGGTTAAGGGGGATGCCGAGTCCTGGCCTCGGTGCAGCCAATGGCCTCCAACTACCGGCCGAGGCCGAATGGTTCAGCGGATGCGAGACGGACGGTCCATGGGCCACTGGAGCACGTCCCATACTCGCGGGAGACGCTGGTGCTGATGCTGGTGTGCGTGCACCGCCGCTGATACGCCCCCCTATTCCATTCGGGATGGCGCCCAACTCATGGTTGGAATGGCCTGAATAAGCAGCCACATGACCTCGGGAGGGGGTGGGTTGATGCATGCCCCCACAAGAACCATAGCCCTGTCCAGAGGAGACACCTGGCCTCGCGAGATTTCCACTCCCAGGGGGGTTTCTTGAGGAGCTGCGCGGTACATGACCTACTGAGGCAGGGGAACCGAGGTGGGGAGTGTGCGCATCAGATATAGGTACGTGGACCCCTCCACCAGGCATCATGCTAGGGGGAGGCTGCCCCCCAAAAGATGCTGATCTGTGTGAAGCTGCTGCGCCGGACCTAGCACCACTGGCATTCGGGATGGCTGCTCGCTGGGAAGCAGCCGGGAAACCGTTGATATGGGCTGGGCTCGAGCTTGCAGGACGTGATGCGCTGGCAGCACCCGGGTTCACACGGTTCTGGCCCTGGCTGTAAGCACCAGATGCACCGCCCAACCGGCCAGAGTTTAACGAATGTGCCAGTAGCGGAGCTGGTGCAGTTCCCGTCTCTCCAGCGTTTTGACAGCCCGAGTTGCACGGTGCGGCTGTAGGTACTTGCCCCTGTCCCCCAGATCTGCCCACGGTCGGTCGAGCATTGGCTACAGCTGGCGCATGTTGTGGCTGCAGCATCTGAAAGGCAGGTTGCGAGTGTACCTGTGGAGCAAGTTCGAAGCGACAAATCGCCATGGGTGGCCCAATCCCAGTGTTCGCGATAGGACCTGCCAGGGTCATAACCAACACCCCACCCAGCGATGACACATATACAACGACTTTGTGCAAGTGTGAGTTGGACATTACGAAGGCATATCGATTTCACCCCCGCCTCTCCCTCCCTCCTCCTCCGTGCATCTCCTGTCAATGGCAGGGAGGCAAGGGCGGTAAGATGGCAGAGAGCGGGCTGGGTGAGAACAGCGGGCCTGAAAATAACCCAATAGGAAAGGAGCAGAGAGGACCATGCACACCAAAGCCTATCCCTCCCTCCTCCTCCGTGCATCTCCTGTCAATGGCAGGGAGGCAAGGGCGGTAAGATGGCAGAGAGCGGGCTGGGTGATAACAGCGGGCCTGAAAATAACCCAATAGGAAAGGAGCAGAGAGGACCATGCACACCAAAGCCTCTCCCTCCCTCCTCCTCCGTGCATCTCCTGTCAATGGCAGGGAGGCAAGGGTGGAAAGATGGCAGAGAGCGGGCTGGGTGAGAACAGCGGGCCGCCAAAAAACACCCAATAGGAAAGGAGCAGAGAGGACCATGCACACCCCCGCCTCTCCCTCCCTCCTCCTCCGTGCATCTCTTGTCAATGGCAGGGAGGCAAGGGTGGAAAGATGGCAGAGAGCGGGCTGGGTGAGAACAGCGGGCCGCCAAAAAACACCCAATAGGAAAGGAGCAGAGAGGACCATGCACACCCCCGCCTCTCCCTCCCTCCTCCTCCGTGCATCTCCTGTCAATGGCAGGGAGGCAAGGGTGGAAAGATGGCAGAGAGCGGGCTGGGTGAGAACAGCGGGCCGCCAAAAAACACCCAATAGGAAAGGAGCAGAGAGGACCATGCACACCCCCGCCTCTCCCTCCCTCCTCCTCCGTGCATCTCCTGTCAATGGCAGGGAGGCAAGGGCGGTAAGATGGCAGAGAGCGGGCTGGGTGAGAACAGCGGGCCTGAAAATAACACCAATAGGAAAGGAGCAGAGAGGACCATGCACACCAAAGCCTCTCCCTCCCTCCTCCTCCGTGCATCTCCTGTCAATGGCAGGGAGGCAAGGGCGGTAAGATGGCAGAGAGCGGGCTGGGTGAGAAAAGCGGGCCTGAAAATAACCCAATAGGAAAGGAGCAGAGAGGACCATGCACACCAAAGCCTCTCCCTCCCTCCTCCTCCGTGCATCTCCTGTCAATGGCAGGGAGGCAAGGGCGGTAAGATGGCAGAGAGCGGGCTGGGTGAGAACAGCGGGCCTGAAAATAACCCAATAGGAAAGGAGCAGAGAGGACCATGCACACCCCCGCCTCTCCCTCCCTCCTCCTCCGTGCATCTCCTGTCAATGGCAGGGAGGCAAGGGCGGTAAGATGGTAGAGAGCGGGCTGGGTGAGAACAGCGGGGCTGAAAATAACCCAATAGGAAAGGAGCAGAGAGGACCATGCACACCCCCGCCTCTCCCTCCCTCCTCCTCCGTGCAGCTCCTGTCAATGGCATGGAGGCAAGGGTGGAAAGATGGCAGAGAGCGGGCTGGGTGAGAACAGCGGGCCGCCAAAAAACACCCAATAGGAAAGGAGCAGAGAGGACCATGCACACCCCCGCCTCTCCCTCCCTCCTCCTCCGTGCATCTCCTGTCAATGGCAGGAAGGCAAGGGTGGAAAGATGGCAGAGAGCGGGCTGGGTGAGAACAGCGGGCCGCCAAAAAACACCCAATAGGAAAGGAGCAGAGAGGACCATGCACACCCCCGCCTCTCCCTCCCTCCTCCTCCGTGCATCTCCTGTCAATGGCAGGGAGGCAAGGGTGGAAAGATGGCAGAGAGCGGGCTGGGTGAGAACAGCGGGCCGCCAAAAAACACCCAATAGGAAAGGAGCAGAGAGGACCATGCACACCCCCGCCTCTCCCTCCCTCCTCCTCCGTGCATCTCCTGTCAATGGCAGGGAGGCAAGGGTGGAAAGATGGCAGAGAGCGGGCTGGGTGAGAACAGCGGGCCGCCAAAAAACACCCAATAGGAAAGGAGCAGAGAGGACCATGCACACCCCCGCCTCTCCCTCCCTCCTCCTCCGTGCATCTCCTGTCAATGGCAGGGAGGCAAGGGCGGTAAGATGGTAGAGAGCGGGACTGACGTCACTCCTACCTGTGGCACCCCTTCCTCTTCCTCGTCCCATTCCTTCGCCCCTTCCTCTACCTCCAGCCCCGCGGCCAAGTTGACCCGCTCCACGATTTCCGCCGCGCCCTCCACGCCCGACGCCCCGCCCTCCACTCCCTTCTCCCTCTTGTTCATCCTGTCCTCTGCCTCGCCTTCCTCTCCCTCCGCCCCGCCCTGCTCGGCAGCCGCCTCGCCATCCACGCCCTTCCCCCTCTCCATCATCCTGTCCTCTGCATCGCCCTCCTCTCCCTCCGCCCCGCCCTGCTCGCCCACCTCGCCCTTCTCCCCGCCCTCTGCCCCGTGCTTTGCCGCGCCCGTCTCCAGGCGTCAATTGCCCAATAACTGCTTCATCGCGCCCACGTTTCCTTGCAGCCTTCTTGACATTGCACGGCATGTCATTCCGTACGCCCCCATCCATGTTTAGGGTCGCCATGCACTTGGCCTTGCCCCGCATGATCGCGGCTGCCTCCTCCGCACTTTCATCCATCGTGGAGCCACGGCTTGCTTCCGCAACCGGCCTGACAGGGTACAGCATACGTTCAACATCATCATCCTCAGCGTCGTCCTCCCCGCCTTCATGTGCCTCCTGTCGCACCGCTGCGTTCAGCGCACCATCGCCTTCGGCAGGATCTCTCGCCCGACCGTCTTCCCCGCCTTCGGCCATGACTCTCCCCCCCTCCTCTGCCTCGTATCCTCCCTCACCCTGCGCCGCAAACTCCCCCCCTTCCTGTTCCTCATAGACTTTCCCCCCCCTTACGACGTATCTGCCCCCTTCCCCTCCCGCGTATCCTCCCCCTTCCCCTGTCCCATTTTCTCCCCCTTCCTCTCCCTCGTATCCTCCCCCTTGCACTGTCGCGTGTACCCCCCCTTCCCCTGCCGCATATGCACCTTGTTCCCCTGTCCCGCCTTCTCCCCATTCGTCTCCCTCGTCTTCACCGCCTCGCACTGTCCCGTATCCTCCCCCTTCCTCTGTCACGTATCCTCCCCCTTGCACTGTCGCGTGTACTCCCCCTTCCCCCGACGCGTATGCACCTTGTTCCCCTGTCCCGTCTTCTCCCCATTCCTCACCCTCTTCTTCCCCCCATTCCTCTCCCTCGTCTTCTCCCCCTTCCTCTCCCCCGTCCTCGCCCCCTTCCTCGTCCTCGTACCCATCCCCTTCCCTTGTCTCGTATTCTCCTCCTGCGCCGGTCGCGTATCCTCCCCCTACCCCTGTCTCGTTTCCCCCCCCTTCCCCTTGCTCGTATCCTTCCCCTTGCACTGTCGCGTATTCTCCCCCTGCACCCGTCGCGTATCCTCCCCCTTCCCCTGTCGCATATCCGCCTCCTTCCCCTTGCGCGTATCCCCCCCCTGCACCCGTCGCGTATCCTCCCCCTTCCCCTGTCGCGTATCCTCCCCCTTCCCCTGTCGCGTATCCACCCCCTTCCCCCATCGCGTATCCTCCCCCTTCCCCCGTCGTGTATCCTCCCCCTTCCCTTGTCGCGTATCCTCCCCCTTCCCCTTGCGCGTAGCCTCTCCCTTCCCCTGTCGGTTCTCCTGGGTAGGCTGCTCCTTCCCCTTCATGACCTCCCACCCCATGCTGTGCCACAAACCCGTTCATAATGGCCGTGTGAGTCTCTCTTCTTCGATTATACCGTGTATCTCGTTTAACGTTCCTAATTAAGCATAGTATGTAGCAAAGCCGTCTAACAAACTTCACAGTTTACTGCGCACCCTTCCAGACACCGATATTTGACGGCCAAGAATTGGAACGCGTACAAAGCAGGCAGGGTAGGAAATGTGAAGGTTAGGATCTCGCGCACCAAGCGTGAGAGAGGCTTAAATTACTGTGTAAGTTTTGGGGTCGGAACAGGGACGAGCAGGCAGAGGGAGTGGGGATGAGCAGGTGAGGGTGCGGGGACGAGGAGGTGAGGGAGCGGGGAGGAGCAGGCGAGGTTGCGGGGACGAGGAGGTGAGTGAGCGGGGAGGAGCAGGCAAGGGTGCGGGGACGAAGAGGTCAGGGAGCGGGGATGAGCAGGCGAGGTGCGGGAACGAGCAGGGGGGTAGGGTAGAGGGGAAGGGGTGTTGGATTTGAATGGGCATGAATACTGTACGTACAGTATTTCAAGCTGGTGGCCACAAAACGGGAGCTGGCGTTGTGTGACGAAAAGTCGGTGTCCTGCCGTGGGTTTAGGAGAGGTCATTCTAGGTGCGATGGGTTGTGGTGTGGTGAAGTGATGTGAGGTGCATAACGCTGTGCTGAACAGTACATGCACCTTCGCCAAGTCGGAAAGAGACCAACGACTATGGAAGGCGATCAGGACAATTTCGAGCTGCAGATGATCGAGATATTTTTTGTTTCAGGCTCGTAACTCGTAAGCATCTAACATTCACGCAACAATTCTTCCACTCCAGGGTTTGGGACCAACGCTCAAACATCAGCGCCAGTTTGAATCACTGAGGAACGTAACAAGATGCTATGTTTTCAGACATTCCGTACTTTTAGGGTTTACGATTGTAACACACCCACAAAGTTCAAACTTGCTGAAACAAAACACATGGTTGTGCAAGCAACAATAACACTGTTGCAAACGAAGCGATATCAGGACAACTTGAAGAGATTCCTTGATGGCTCTGGCGCACAACGCTGCACGGCCACACCCTGACAAGAAACGAAACAGTAGATATGAGTCAGCATTATGAAAGGCGGTACGTGAAAATCGCACTGTAGCTTGAAACTGTTGTGTATCATGCCCCCACTTGCAACGCAGTTTCACATGTGAAACCGCCAAAAAAAGGACGGCCCAAGTTAAAACCATTCATGATGTCAATAACACCCAGAACAGTGAAAATGCTCAATTCTGTATGCTTACTCAAATAACTAGTCTCTCAGACATGTCATATCGGAAGCCACAGTATTGGTTAAATTGTTGGGGCTTTTGTTCAGTGGTAAATTATAAGTATTATGATAAATTTATGTAACCTCTAGCGTACTAGGGCTGAACATAGTGCTTGAAACCAAACTATGGTTGGTCTGTGTCTCCAAATGAACACCTACATCGATATCTCATAACGCTCATATATCGTAGGATTATAGTCCAAAACTTCATCTGAATGGCTCTACCCGTTCCTCTACAGCTCCTCTACAGTTCCGCATCAGGGTTGTTTCTTGGCTGTAATTTACCAAAATCAACAAACGGTATCGCGCAATACCAATGAAGAACCTAACACTTAACAACTCATACTCTGACCACCATTGCCATGTGCTGACCACAAACCAATCCTTGCCTGCCACCCTGACACCAGTTTGAGACCCCCCTATCATTCTCAGCCCAGTCCATGAAGGCTAGATAGGTTCATCATGCCATGATATGTAAGGGAAGCCCAAATCTGATGCAGAGTTGTCGGGTATTGGATTTCAGTCCTCGCCACCAACCAAACCTTGTCTGAAAGCTCAGCAAGTGATAGGGTAGTCTCTTGACACCAGTTTGAGACCTCCCTATCATTCTCAGCCCAGTCCATGAAGGCTAGATAGGTTCATCATGCCAGGATATGTAAGGGAAGCCCAAATCTGATGCAGAGTTGCCGGGTATTGGATTTCAGTCCTCGCCACCAACCAAACCTTGTCAGAAAGCTCAGCAAGTGATAGGGTAGTCTCTTGACACTAGTTTGAGACCCCCCTATCATTCTCATCCCAGTCCATGAAGGCTAGATAGGTTCATCATGTGAGAATGAGCGAACAGGAATGAAATGACTAAGTCAGGGTTGGGTACAAATACAACCCTAGAAAGCTGTACCCCATATGTGCTACCCCACTATAGCCTACAAACATGCATCAGCTATAGTAATCTGACACACCCCCATAGGCAAAGTGGGGGAGAACAAGGGGTCACAAGACCAGTCAAGCAAAGCAAAGCAAAGCAAGCTCAGGGTGGATCACAAAGTCACCACACAGTCCGAGCACAAGAGCAGGGCCAGAGGCCAGTTCACAAGCAAGAGTACAGACATATATAGAAGACTAGACAAGCAAGAGCAGGTATATATATGTCACAGTACAAGTAAAGTCAAGAGGAGAGCAAGTGAGGCAAGACAGGCACAAGACCCAGCTGGGTGCAGAAGCGCTGATGGTCACAAGGCGCGAGTGCCTTGGTGAACACATCAGCAGTGTTGGCCTCAGAGGCCACGTACGCAAGTCGCAACTGACCACGCTGCTGCAGCTCACGAGCAAGGAAGTAGCGGAGAGCAATGTGCTTCGTTCTGTGCTCCAAGCGCTGCTCTCGACAGAAGGCCAGCATGGCCTTGTTGTCTACGTACAGTACTGGAGGAGAACGAGGCGCCTCTCCAAGGTCAGTCAGCAGGTAGGTGAGCCAGCGAAGCTCCTGTGGAGCCATGGCCCCGGCGTAGATCTCAGCCTCACAACTGGAGCTGAGAACCGAAGACGAACGAGTAGACCGCCACGAGACAGAGCCGGAACCAAGACTGAAGGTGTAACCCTGTGACGACCGCTGCGTAGCCTGGTCGTCAGCCCAAGAAGCGTCCGCGTGGCCTGTAAGGACCACTGGACTCCGCCCTCCAAGCACTAGCCCCATGCCCGACGTACTGCACAGGTAGCGCAATACCCTCTTCGCTGCAGCCATGTGCTCTGGTCGGTGTCTCCCAGGAGCAACATAGCGTGCAAGAATGCTCAGAGGGTATGCAAGGTCAGGTCGAGTGCAGGTCATCAGGTACATGAGGCAGCCAACAAGCTCTGGGTACGGGCCACTCGACTCTACGGACTCATCCGAAGGCAGAGCTGAGAGCGAGTGGCGAGTAGACAGAGGAGTGGCCTGAGGCGAGGAGTACGTGAAGCCGAAGCGCTGAAGGACCTGCTGCACCATGTGTGACTGAGTCAAGGTAATGGTGCGGCGTGCTCTGTCCCGAGTGATCTGCAAGCCAAGGTAGCTGCGCAGTTCACCCAGGTCTGTGCACGTGTGTCTCTTCAGCAACTCGGACTTCACGTAGGCGAGTCCAGCAGTGTCCGCTGTGGCAAAGACCAAGTCGTCGACGTACACGAGGATGTAGAACGGCGGCAGTGAAGTGTCGGTGCGCAGAAACAGCGACGGGTCAGCAGTAGACGGAGCAAACCCAAGAGCCGCAAGCGTAGTCCTCAGTGTGTCGTGCCACTCACGCGGTGCCTGGCGGAGACCGTAGACTGGCCGTCGGAGGCTCCACTGGGTGCCAGGAGGGAAAGTCCCAGTGAAGCCAGGTGGACGGCGCAGCCAGATCTCCTCGTGCAGGCTACCCTGCAGGAACGCAGTGCTGAAGTCGAGAGAGTGAAGCTCGTAGTCGCGCTGAGCGGCTATGTGCAGCAGCACCCGAAGAGTGGTCATCTTCGGGGTGGGAGAGAAGGTCTGAAAGTAGTCAACTCCCTGCCGCTGACTGAAGCCACGAGCAACGTACCGCGCCTTGAAGACAGGTGGAGAGCCCGGCGGCCGCTTCACCCGGAAGATCCACATGCCACTGACGATGTTCGCCCCAGGAGGCGGAACTGCGTCAACGTAGGTGCCTGTGGACTTCCAGGAAGCCATCTCTGCATCCATAGCTGCCTGCCACTGAGAGGAGTAGGGACCCTCTACGGCCTCCACGTAAGAGCGCGGAGTCGGGATGTCTAGTGCATCCGGGTCTCCCTCAGGAGCAAGCAGTACAGACGCGAGATGAGGTGAAGCAGCAGCCAGACACTGTAACTCCTCCTGCCTGTCCTCTAGGACGTCCGTGCCAAGAGCACACTCACCCCCGACGGACGGAGGACAGACAGACGCAGACTCAGCAACAAGACTAGCAGCGTAGTCTAGACGACAGCGAGCAGCAAAGTCGACGAGCTCAGCGACAAGAGCAGACGCAGCAATGGACTCAAAAGAGGGCTCAGTGACGACAGTAGCAAGCAGACGCGTGACAGTAGGACTGGCAGCACGAAGAGAGTCCGACTCAGGGTCGGCAAGCGCAGGAAGAGAGGACTCAGGAGGAGAAGGCAAAGGGGCACGCAGAGGAGCAGTGGACGGACGCAGAGACATCCGGTGCGTGCCAGGGACAGGAGGAGGACGCTGACGCGAACCGCGACCACTAGCGCGAGCAGCACGAACAGGCGACGCGGGACGAGACGCAGGCTCACGACGCTCAGCAAGACCTCCAGTAGGACCAGTGTAAGGAGAGGGAGCAGGCAGAGGAGAGGAAGGCTCCAACAGTGACTGCGACTGGACAGGCTGTGGACACTCTACCGAAGGAGAAAGACCAAGAACCTGCTGTAGGAGCGGAACGAAGTACGGCCGAGGCCGCGCGGCAGCTCCAGACTCAGCAGGGACAGCACCAGCACCCTCAGCGACAGCACCAGCGCCACCAACACCTCTAGCGGCAGGACCTCCAGCAGCACCAGCAGCAGAACCACCGCCAGGACAGACAGCAGTAGTCTCAGCACCAACACCCTCAGCAGCTCCAGCTCCAGTAGGACCCGCAGGCCCAGCAGCTCCGGGACCGGCAGCACCAGCACCCTCGACGGTCGACGAAGCTCCAGCTCCAGCAGCACTCCTCCAGCGGCGAGCAAACCACTCGCGCAGCTCCTGTGGAGAGAGGGGCTCCCGGCGAGAC